AATTTAAATAAGAGATGGGGCTGAAGATATGCACATGGGGATGCCTCCAGGGTAAAGTTCACAATCCTTAGTTTACCAACACATACCAATGAGGTCTATCCCAACTAGCTCTGAAGCCTCACCTCCTGCCTGCCACTCCAGCTCCCTTAGCTCTGGTTATATCCAATTACTTGCAATTTGATAAAAACATTTTTTCACACCTTAGTCTCAGCTTTTCCTTGTACATTGTCCTTTGCTTCAAAAGCTCTTCTCTCTTCTTCAAAATTCAGCTCAACTGTCACTTTCCCAGGGAAGCTTTCCCTGTCCCATCAGATTAATATAGAAGCCTCTCCCCCTGCTAACCTCTATCATGTGGTTCCCTTATAGTTTGTTGACTTGTCTGGCTGGCTCCCCACTAAAGTACAAGCAATGTGAACTGGGCTTTTTCAACTTTTCATCTCCAGCTTTCTGTGGAGCTCGACAGTACTCCTAAGTTTATTTCGTTATTAAATAAGGAAGACACCCCATTTTCCAATATGCCCTCCTCCGAAAATTACAAAGCCCAGAAACTCACTTTGCAGACCATAGATCCAGGTTCACAGACTGGCAGGACTTAAAAAGTCAAATAACACAATCTATTACTCTTGGTGCTACTCCGTGTCCAGGGCTAGCAAACCAGGTGAACGCCTGGCCACATACGAGTTCAACGCACAAAGGCACTGCAAACGTTTCCCTGTTTAGCGCTGCCCTGAGCCCACTGTGTAGGAGACAACAAAGCCCAAGACACAAAACGTGTGTATATGAGTCTGAACTTACACAAGGAACTCTTCCAACTTCGCAGTTTGAATTACGAGGCCATAGACTGCGCGTAAAAGGAGCAAGATCCAAGGCCTGTGACACTGTTCTGGGGCCCAGGCCCACCTTGCTCATCATTCTTGCTCAGTGGGTTCCCAGAATCTCAAGGCTAACAAACTAAGCCGGTAAGAAACACCGAAAGAGTCAAAGGAGGGACCAGGGGGTGGAGGTGCAGCAGGGCTTTGTTCTGAGATTCAGCATTCAGCACCCGCCCGCAGTCCTGTTCTGGAGCCCTCCAGGTTCTCCCAGGCGGCGGGCGCCGCCACACTGATTTGGGAACCCCGAGTTAGCTCGGAATTGCAGAGCTCCTGGGCAATCCCCAGTCCCGCCCGAGACTTCCGTATTCTCGGGCCCACTGGGTGAAAGAAAAGGCTCCAGAAAGTTCCAGGAGCGCCAGAGCCCCAGGCTTAGGCCCACCCCCACCAGGTCCTTCGGCCAAGCCCACCCTGCCCGAGCTCCCCCGCGCGGTTGCCTAGGTAACAGCGGGGCGGTGGCAGCGGCGGGAGGGGCGGGACTTCCGGCGGGTGACGCGCCTGGGCTCGGCTACAAAAGACGACGGCTGCGGCTCGCCGGCCGGAACTTTCCAGAACCCTGGGTGAGAAGCGGAGCAGCAGCGGCTGCCTCAGGTGCGCAGAGCAACGCGCTCCTTCCCGTTCCCCCACACCGGCTTCGGCCTTCTCACGGG